TTCCTCGCGCGATTGCGCGGAAGCTGCATTTTACAAACAACGCTCTCCGTCGCGTAACTCGCGTTATTTTCGTACTACAGAGAGAAAACATATTTTAGCGGAGCAGGCCGCGCGGCGCGCGCAACAATTTCTTTCTTTCACATCGGATTTGAATGGATTCGCTTAATCACAAGCTTAAATGAATACACTCGTCATCTCGTTCGGGTTGTTCGCGAAGAAATAGCGGCGTCGTTAGAGAATCGTATAATAAGGAGGCGAGCTCAATCATCCGGAACGGGGCTCCACAATTTACAAGATGTCGACATTACGGGAGATACTGCGATGCGCTCTCGCGCGTCGAGGTGCCATTGAGAACGATGTAGGGAAGTTGAACTCCCCCGACGAATCCCGTCGTTTAATTTAACCGATAAGAGAGCTACCGTTGGAACGCTACCGGCAGTAGTTTACGAACTATCAACGTTAGCTCCGCCGTTCGGGAAATTTTCTGCCGTCGAGGTTGGGCGGAATAAAGAGGATTGCCTGCCGATGTGTATCAGCTCGTCCTGTAAATTGAAGCGAGAGCGCCTATCGCGGAACGTCGCTCAATCGTGACCCCCTTCTTGGAACAGCGGTACAAATAACACGATGAAAGGTGGAGGGACCGCGTGACAGAGGATGTGAAAATTCTGCTCGTATCTTTGAACGTCGCTACTCGTAAATTTGCTCGCGCCAATGCTGTCACATAATAATCAGCCGTAAAAAAGAAAGAAAAATAGAATCAAAAACACCTTTATTTCATTAAAAACAATGACCAATTTCCAACGACCAAATCACCAATTTCTGTCACTCTGAAAAATCGAAAAATGGTTTCAGTGCTTCGAATGAAACTTCGACTATTTAACGAAAGCCTCGGCGAAGGAAAAACCGGCTCAAAGGCGCGGAACTCGGGACATCTAGGATCGTCTGAACCGACCGACTAAAAAGCGATCTTCTCCAAGACTGAAGTCTCGTTCGAAAACAATTGCAGCTCGCCGCAAGCGTGCAGCTCTGGTCGCCGGACGAGTTCCGGCGCTGCGACGACGCAGCAGCTGACAAAATAAATGTAACAAGCAATTAGAGCCGGTCTGCATATATGCATGGGTTCGAGCGTAGGGTACGAAGATCCTCGAGATTTTTCAGGAGGAGCAGCCGCGGCTGCTTAATGCGAACGGTACATTTGCACGGCAAATAAACGGTTAAATTATACATTGTTAAACAACAGAGAGCGTGAAATGGCGGCGGTCTATTTTTGAAGGTTCCCGGAAGAAGGAGGACGCTCTTGAATAAAACATATCCACCGGCGGGCATATCCTAGAGTCCATTCTTCCGGTTTCCTTGGTCTCTTACGTCTTCTTCTGCCGCGCTCTCGGCTCGACTCAGCTTTTTTACCTCTCTTTTCGCCTGCTTTTGTCTGCAGCGAACAGCCACTTATTCATGGAACGACGGGTCCGAGTGTCCCTCTTTCTCCCCCTCTCTCTCTTCCTCTCTTTTGCTCTCCTAACAATTAATGTTTCGCAGCGTCCACACCGGAGCTTTGCAGCGACGGCAGTTTAAACAGCATTTAATCCGGCGTGCAACCGCGCCCGTGGAATCTCGGGAGGGATTCTTTCCGTCGTTCCTCGGAGTTCCGACGGAGGTGCGTTTGACGCTGCGGAAGATCGAGGGTGGAAGATCGAGGCCCGGGAGATCGGGTTTCGGCTCGAAACCTCGAGGCTCGCGGAATGTTCGAGCACCGCGAAAACGATGACCGCGGCTCGGCGCGGCTGCCTTCCGCGTTCTTCGCCTTCCCGCCATCGCTCGGTCGGGTTTCGCCCGGAATGTTTCATTTTCTTTTGCTCCGGCAACCTCGAGCTCATTAAGGGGCGTTTTGTTGCTCCCGCCGCTCGCCGGCCGCTCGTTCCGCGGCCGCCCACGCAAACCGGCCGCACACTGTATAAAAGATTCGTAAGAGTTCCCGAACACTTTCCGCCCGATGGAACACATATTTAATAAGCGGCCGGGTGGCTGGCCGACGGAACCCGGGATGCTTCGAATGCTTCGCCGTTCGGATAACCGGCTATCAACGATTTTCAACATTCTTCGAAGAATTCTCCGCGGCGGATCCTATTATATTTATCGACCGCATTGTTGTACGTAGACCAGTCTCACGGAAAATGAAAACCGGCTTCGTTAATTGGCGCCCATACTCGCGCAATCGCCTCGCTTCGTGATTAATGGGGCACTGCGGTGTTTTCGGAACACAGTTGGCCGTTATTCGAATTGTTTCGAATTCATGTTTGTCTAAGATGATTGTTGGGAGATATTGCTTTTAGTCGGAAATTGTTGGTCGGCGTAGATTGTTCCGTCTGTTTGTTCGAATAAATTGTTCGCATACTTTGCTGGAATAAATGATTCGCATAATTCTTCGTTCGAATGAATTTGTTTGTATCATTCTTTGTTCGCGTAATTCTTTGTTCGGGGAATTCATTGGTCGAAATGAATGAATTATTCTTGAATCGAATAATTCGTATAATTCTTGAATCGAATGAATTCGTTATTCGAATAAGTTAATCGAATATTACTGAAGTTAAAATTTCATAGAGTTTTATAATTCGAATTATTTATAATTCGACGCCAAATTCGACTGGTATTGAATCGTATGAAAATTTGTTAACAAATTACAATCATATTGAATTGTAAGAATATTAGAATCGTGTCGAATTTCAGAACTATATCGAGCGCTAATTTCAAATAAAACCATGTCGCATGCACATTTTTAACGATATCGTGTTGCAAAAACTTTACAAAGAGAATCGTGTAGCACCAACACTGTAGCGAGCCGAGTTTAACCATTTATTTCGTGCTGTGAAATTATGCACAATATCCGGCGGAGGGCCGGAAGAAAATAGTGCTGATATTTTCTATTTTCCAGTTTCAAAGCGAAGCTGAGATAAAATGCACCGAACAAAGTCGAATGAAAAATTGAACATGTTGGTTGGACTAGAACCTATGGTTAAAAGTAAAAAAACAGTAGAATTCGAATGAATCTTTTATGTAGTCTACTGATACAATATTCTGGTAACACATGGTTTTTCATCTGGTTTGAAAAATTTACACACGGAATTCGTCATTGCACTTTTTATTCTGTTTCACTTCGGACGAAGCTTATAGAATTTACAGATGAAAACCTGTAATTAAAAATCTAGGAACCGTGTAATTACATGTGGAAAGAATAAGCTGCATTTTTCAGGATAAAATGATTGAAAATATTTGTCAGCCACGCGCGAATGCGTGTATAAGCACTTAGAAGGAGAAATGGCAAGTTGTGGTCAGGCAACGAGAGCTTGCGGCGTTTTAGAACCGGATTTTAACTCTGATTTATCAGGACTACAAAATTATAAGACTCATCGATAAATACTAGGATTAATGCGTACACATTAATTAATTATTCTATTAAAAAATTAATCTTTATAAAGCAGCTTGCGTTTGATACGTAAATCCACAAGCATGTTCCATTATGCTATTCTCTGCCGCAGTACGCGGATTGCTGCCCCGAAATTACGTTTTCTGATGAGATATAATTTTCTGTTCTTCATAGATTTTCGTTATTTATTCTTTCCTCTTCTTTTTTCCTATACAGTACATTCTATATTATCATATACTTCCATATATTAAAAATGGTATGTACTTCGATTTTTTTAACTACCTCATTTGTACCTATTATGTATACATTTGTTCATAGATAGGAACAAATATATACATAATAGGCGCAAATGAGATAGTTAAAAAGATCGAAGCACGTATAATTTTTAATTTAATTTATAATATATGCATATGGAAGTATATAACAATATAGAATGTACTGTAATAATAGAGTCAAATATAATCTATTCCTACATATAATATATTTTACTCTATTATTACTTGTATTTATCGTTCCTGCTATATACATGCTATATATAATAATAGAGTAAAATATAATCTATTCCTACATATAATACATTTTACTCTATTATTACTTGTATTTATTGTTCCTGCTATATATATGCTATATATGTATAACAATAGAGTAAAATATAATCTATTCCTACATATAATACATTTTACTCTATTATTACTTGTATTTATTGTTCCTGCTATATATATGCTATATATGTATAACAATAGAGTAAAATATAATCTATTCCTACATATAATACATTTTACTCTATTATTACTTGTATTTATTGTTCCTGCTATATATATGCTATATATGTATAACAATAGAGTAAAATATAATCTATTCCTACATATAATACATTTTACTCTATTATTACTTGTATTTATTGTTCCTGCTATATATATGCTATATATGTATAACAATAGAGTAAAATATAATCTATTCCTACATATAATACATTTTACTCTATTATTACTTGTATTTATTGTTCCTGCTATATATATGCTATATATGTATAACAATAGAGTAAAATATAATCTATTCCTACATATAATACATTTTACTCTATTATTACTTGTATTTATTGTTCCTGCTATATATATGTTATATATAACAATAGAGTAAAATATAATCTATTCCTACATATAATACATTTTACTCTATTATTACTTGTATTTATTGTTCCTGCTATATATATGTTATATATAACAATAGAGTAAAATATAATCTATTCCTACATATAATACATTTTACTCTATTATTACCTGTATTTATTATTCCTGTCATAATTAAATTTCTCTTTTCTTCGTAAAAATTCGAAAATCGGTCTCCGTAAAAATTCTTACTCTATAACCGACGCCTACTTCGTGAACAAAATCTTTTATAAACAAATGTCAGCGTACCTTATCATCATACTTATCAACGGTGAAATTCTACCATGCACGACCGTTTCGTGTTCGTCAGAGCGTACGAAACCCCTTAATCGTCCTCTCATTACCTGTTTGTCCCTGATCGATGTTCGTCTGATCGCGGTTCTGATTGCGTGCTCATTTTTTCCCCCCAGGTTCCGACAGCAAGATGTCAGACGTTGATGGACAGTCGTATACAACGTTGCTGTACAGTAATGGGCCCGGGTACACGCATCCGAGGAATATATTACGAGAGGGCGGCAAGGACTCCATTCAGGTAAAAAAGAGGCCGGCTCATTTTCCTGGTTCGCAGCGTATGACGTCACTGTTTATTGGATCGGAAAATGATCTAGCGGAGATAGATATCCGGGCCGCGTTTAAAAATCCATCACGTTTCGTCGAGGGTCCATTGCGAAATATTCGATGAAGCTCTTCGAACTTCATATATTCGCCCGGTCTCCTTTTCACCGTTCCCACCCTAGCGCCGTTGCATATTTTACCTGCACCGGCGCGATACTCCGCGGGATCCTCGGACTTGATGAGTTTTAATCTAACAGCGGAACACGTGCCTTCCAGCTCATAGGGCATAATTAATGAATGTTGTACAGTCGCGGTGCCGACGGCTATTTCGATAAAATTATTCGTCAGTTATTATTCAGCGTTCAAAAGTGAGACCGATGCCGATGGGAACGGCAGATACGGGCAGAGGTGATAAATGCGGTTCCCTCGAAAGGAATTCGTAATCGTTGGCCAAATTGCTGCATGCCGTGCGGGGTCGTAATTTTACCGGGCGAATGAGTGCGTAATGGTTTTGCAAAATGATATCTTTCTCTTAGATCGAATTGGTCAAATTTTAGGAACAGGCTTCTCGAAGATATTTAATTTTCAGATTTTTCTCAAATTTAGACAGGCCACTTTGGATCGTGTCGTAATTTTTAACTTGGGGTAAATAGTTTATCCAGATCAGCATTCTAATTAGGGAAAGCTGGGTGATATGGCTAGCACTGTGTTTTATTTATGTTGATAACACTGGCTATTTTTCTGTGATATTTATATGACGTATTCTATGACATATTTTCCCGTCTATTGCATGCGAGTCGACGATACAATTTAATCTGAAAATGTATAATAAACTTGGCATTTATAAAAACTCGGAAAAACCGCGTCCTGCAGGTTTAAAAGCGTTGTCGAAATTTTACTTGCGTCATTATTGTCATTATAAGATCATTATAAAGTCATTACAGAATCATTGCAAAATCTCTTAAAAAATCGACGTATGTTCAGTAATTTTCACTAATTAATTGTTCTTCGTCTTTATCGAAAATCTATGGAACAATTGCCAATCAATGGTACCAAATTAATCGTGAAACGATATCTATAAAAACTTGAATGATCAACGAATTCCAAAATTTCTACTCATTCACCAAATGATTGTTGCTCTAAGCTGCAATCGGTAGGAAAAAAATGCGTACAGATTCCTCCATGGAGCTGATAAAAGCTCCGCGAGAAGCGCGGAATAAAAATACGAAGTGCGAGTAAAGTTGATTAAGCGTTGCAATTTATAAACGTGTTAAAATATATTATCGAGACTGCGAGAAGTTTTGCGTCCGACGATAATGAGTCCCTCGAAGACGCGACTGTACAGCACAAAAGTGTCGAGAGAGGTGATGTATTAAAATCACGACGGACGTGCGAACAATTATCATTGATCCGGTTTCCGTGGTGCTCATTAACGTTTGCCTCGGCCGATCCGCGCGCTCCTTTGATTAATCGACAGATTGCGCGTCGAGCAAAGAAACGTCCCGTCGAGCTGTGCGCCATTATTTGCATTAATTAATATGGAAACGGTCGCTCTTTTACGCGAAACGACACGCCGTCGTTTTGCCGCTCGCGAACCGGCTTCAGCGATACGACACACACACACACGTACATTTCGGTGAAATATAAATGGCGACTTCGTTTCACAGAAAAGAGAAATAAATCAAATGTCTCTTTCAACGGGACTCGCTGTACGGGAAACATGAAAGCAGGAAATGTTTACTTAAGCGCTCAAAGTTGCGAAAGATCGACGTATGTAATTCTCGGTTATTGGACGTCTTTTCATTCTGATTTCCACTGTTAACACAACGCTGGATAATTAATTGTAGTCGAAAGAATTACAATGCACTCGTGGATTCCGGTTTTCTTAAAAATATACAAAGTGCAGGGTCGAAAATTTCGGCAGAATCGGCAATTAGTAAAATGGCATTTTATTTTTATTTTTTTTTTAAATCTTTTCTTGAATCTGTCTGTGGCGGCGTGACTTTATACAAAGTTAATGAAAAACAGGAATTACTGTTCCATACTTCAATTTTTACTGTTTAATCTTTTTAGATAGAAAGTGTTCCAAGAGTAATTGCTTTCATACAAGAATGTTCCTTTGTCCGATTAGGCTTTCTGAGCCTAACTTATTTCAGACTGAGTCGTCTGATGTAAGAACAAATTTTTATGAAAGGAATACCTGCATGATATGAGCAATATGTGTGAATAAATTATGCAGGATCCAAATCAAAGAGTTCATGTTAAAATAAATGTTCGGTTTGCAACGCGATCAATGTTTTATAATATCACTTAAACAATTACATTGAATGATATTGAAAACTACTATGAACGATTTCAAAATTTGGAAAAACACAGAGAATAATTATAGTCGTAATTTTACTCGCGCGCGCGTATCGCAGGCTGTCTGCAATTAAAGTAAACCGTAAATTATAAAACAGTAGTAACTACAGACAAATTAAAAATATTTCGCGATAAATTTAAATGCATGTGTGTACAGTTTCGGTCACCTGAATCTATGATCTGTTGGTAAAAGCGTCAATTTTGTTGTAAATCGAGATCGAAATTAGGAAAACCACCAGTTACTGCGGTTGGCCGAACTGCTTTTGTTTCGATGGCCTGGTTCGAGTGACCCCGTCTTTTCCCGTGGTGAAAATTACAGTTAATTATTCCCCTCGGTACCAAGTTTTTCGTCGTTTCCAAATTACCAGAGACAACCCGTTGACACGCTACACGGTCTCGCAGAATTAAAGTCCTCTCTGCTGCTGGCGCACCGTTCGGGCTTTTCACGGATCGACAGTGTTCATTGGGGAATTTTTTCAACGATTACAGCCGAGTTTTAACTTAGCGGATTCGCGCGGCGAAGTCGCGGGACAATAACGGCAGTGATAAGCAATAATCGTAGCCCGTTCGGAGACTACGGAATGCGACGGCGCTGTTGAATTCGTACGTCTGATTGCAGTTTTTAACTTACTTCGAGACGAACGATAAATTTTTACGAGCATTGTTTCGTTGAACTTCGCGGCGGGTCGCTGAGAGAGAATTAGAAGGGCTGCGATTCGGATAACTATAATAGCACGATAACGATTGCGGTACGGTTTTATGGTATTGTCTGCAAGAACGGTATTAGATATGAAGAAATATTTTCGCGTGACATAAATTATTACATGCGAAACCATGAAACTATATTGCATGTAAAACGATGAAACTATATTGTATATAAAACGATGGAACTATATTATATATAAAACGAAACAATTTTCGATGACTATCGAATTATGTTTCACCAACACAATTAACATTGTGACGTCTTATCTAGAACAACTTATTTTACGAAATATTGATCTTCATTCGTTCGGTACTTTTTTTAAGCTCTTCCATAAGTTTAACAGAAAATTTCTCGAATTGATCATCGACAAATTCAAATAATTTTTTCGGTATTATAAGAACTTCTTTTACGTGTTCGATTTTAACAAATTAAATATATTTAAATAAAAATATTCGCTATGTACTATAGGATAAATATAAAGTTAATGATTCTAGAAAACGAGGGGAAATAAAGACACGATAATTGTCGATATCTCCAACGTGTTAGAAACAACAAAAGCACAGGATCAACACATTTACCTGAAAAATTGCACGAAATCCGGTCATTGCCAATAACAGACCTGTTTCTGCCGTACGATTGGATAGGACATGATAACGCTTTAACGATATCCTAAATCAAATCCATTCGATACTATTTAGTCCGGCAGAATCGGGAGCGGAACGGTCTCTCGGAAAACTTATGGTTCCCACGAGCAGATCTTCGTCCTGCATGTTCGAGTTTCACACACGGAATACATTCAGCTATTACGATCGAATTGGACGGGTCACAGGGCAGCGATTGTTCGGCGAAGTAGTAACCGTGTTTACTCCTCCGAATGACGGAACGTCATTTCCGTTCACGAGGCATTGACGAAACTGGGCAATTCCAGAGGATGGCAGCGCACCATGAACGCGGCCTTACGATAGCTGCATGACGGATGACAAATGCGCCGGTCCGAGATATTTAAGTCTCTCCCAGGCGAACAATAATTCCTCGAGATATCGTTCCGCCGAACTATACATTTCGGAGACAATTGCAGAACTATCGTAAGAGGGTTGTTCGACCTCTTCTCTCCCCCCTCTCTCTCTTGACTTCTCTCTTTCTCCCTCTCTCTTGACTTCTCTCTTTCTCTCTTTCTCTCTCTTAACTTCTCTCGCTCTCATCATTCCTCTCTCTCTCTCTCTCTCTCTCTCTCTCTTCACTTGTCCCTCTTTCTTCATTTCTCTCTCTCTCTTCATTCCTCTCTCTCTCTCTTCATTTTCTCTCTGCCTCTCTGTTCACTTCTCTCTCTCTTTATTTCTCTCTCTCTCTCTTCATTTCTCTCTCTCTCTCTCTCTCTCTGTTCATTTCTCTCTCCCTTCATTTCTTTCCCTCTTTATTTCTCTTTCTCTGTTGCTCTGTTCATTTCTCTCTCTCTTCATTCTTCTCTCTCTCTCTCTCTCTTCATTCCTCTCTCTCTCTTCATTTTCTCTCTGCCTCTCTGTTCACTTGTCTCTCTCTTTATTTCTCTCTCTCTCTCTTCATTTCTCTCTCTCTCTCTCTCTCTCTCTTCATTTCTCTGTTTATTTCTCTTTCTCCCTCTCTTCATTTCTCTTTCTCTCTATTTCTCTTTCTTTCTCTCTCTCTTTATTTCTCTCTCTGTCTCTTTGTTCATTTATCTCTCTCTTCATTTCTCTCCCCCTCTCTCTCTCTTTCTCCTCATTTCTCTATCTAATGACTATTGACTATATAAATTGTAATTTTAGCGAAAACAAAAACATATTCTCAAATTTCAAGGTGTTCAGAGTATTTTGAGGTTAGGTCGGAATAAAACAAACGAATAAAAAATACGACTAATTTGAGATAAACTCATGAAATGAGTTAGAAAGATA